GGGGGGGGGGGGACTCAGACTCCCCCTAACGATCTCGGGCCCTTTATGAACACGGGCACACGTGCATGTGGGGTAAATCTATTTACCTGTCCATAGACCCACACCAACCCGTGGGCCCAGAGAGAGGCCCCGACAGAGGAGGGGAGCACAAGGAATCGGCAGATCCCGATTCAATGGAATTTAAAAATCCTCTGGAACCTCCACGTGCCAGGCTGCCAGGGCCTCGGATAAGATCTGGCGCCCCATTTCACAGACGCAGAACCCGAGGCCCGGCACGTCCTCAGGCGCGGGCCCGCAAGGTGTGCACTTCCAGGGAGGAGCTGGCCCGTGGCCACGCGCGTGGGGCAGCTCCGAGGAACCAGGGCCGTGTGCGCTTCCCGCGCTCACCGGGAGATCAGATCCCGCTCCAGATGTTGACAAGATTACCTTGAACATTCACAATGAACAGGCTCCCGAGGGCTGGCTGAGGCTCCACACGCCGAGACCCGAGCCTGCAAGGTGAGTGCCGCCAGCCGGGGGCAGGTCCGAACCGGGTGAGGCCCCACCGGCCCCGGGGACCTGCCCGGCTCCAGCGGCCGCCCTCATCTCTCTGACAACAGACAGGGAAGGGAACAGTTCTAGTATCAGGTTCTAATAGTCCCAGGACCAATTACTAAACGAGAGGAAGACAGCGAAAAGGTTTTTTTAATTTTAGTTAAAACAGTATCAACAGCATATTACGTTTAAAATTACCTGTGCGGAGAGCTGGGTTTATAGACGCACGCAGAGCGTAAGCAGCCACGTGCATGGGCCTCTCGAAACCGCGAGGAGACGTCGCCACCAGCACAGGGGACGGGAGAGGGTTTTCCTGAAGGGGGCTCCGTGCGGGTCCCCACAGTTGTCGCCCAGCCTGTGGACGCGTCTTGGAAGGGACCCCGAGGCCTCCTTGTTCCGGCCCCCCCACAATACGGTCCTAACCTGCCGCTCGGCCACACCGGCTAGAGCTGCGTTCCCGAGGACTCCAGCCCTTTAAGGGCGGCAGAGCCAACACAGGTTCCTAGAAAATGTGGAAAACCGTCGAGGCAGGGGCAGGGGCGACGGGCGAGAGCGGTGCCGGCAATGCCCATTAGCGGCGGCCGCGGCATCCTGCCTACAGGGTTTTTTTTTTCCCCTCTCTCGGGCAGAATGCACTCAAAACCAATGGGCCGCCTTTAACAAACCAAAAGACGACATTTCCAGAGCCGCAGCGCCGGGTTAAACTCTTCATTTTCCTTGGAAATGTAACAGCGGAGGGCGGTCACGTGGCCGCCTTCTACGTGCGACACAATGTAATTTGGTTTCTGGTTGCTGGGCTAATGAAACCTATTCCAGGCTAGCAACCTGGGCCAAAACAAATGCTCGCGCGCGGCCCTCTCGCGTAATGAGGCCGTTTAATTAAGGCCCCCATTACAGCTGTAAATGCTCCTTTATATAATAAGGTCTAAATGAAACCGAACCTAATCAAAGTTACAATTCCTTCATTAGCAAATTACAAACAAGAGCGCACAGCTGACACACCGGCTCCGGTTGTCGCAACTAATTGCCTCGTTGTTGCAAACTAGCCTGAAACAGCGTTCAGATGTCCGTCTGCGAGAGCAAATTAGGGCCACGCCGGGCTATTCCTGGGCTCACAAGGGGCTCTCGTGCGGAGATCTAATTCACCCCCGTCGCCCGGCCGGCGGCCCAATCAAAGCGGGGCTACAAAGGCGGCCTTTGAAGCCGGCTCAGCCTGGGGACGCGCCCGCTCCGTGCGCGGGCGGGCAGACCGCACTTCATTAGGCCTGTTGTCAGATTTCCCCTCTTCTTAGTCTAATGATCCTATTTTAATACACACAGGAACCTCTTCTAATTGATGTCAAGTGAGTGACTTCCACATTCATCAACACAGCACATCAAACAAACCTTGGCGCAGGAGCCGATGGCGGCCGGGAGCGCGCGAGGTGTGTCGGCCCCGGGAGGGGGAGGCGGGGGCAGCTCCGTACCTGTTTAATTGGGATGGCTCGCCCGCTCCCGATGCTGTCCGCGCGACTCTCCAGGCCCTTCTTCTCTTTGTCGGGGTCGCTCCCTTTCCGAGACTGCAAAACGAAAACAGAGTTAGCGTTCGGCAAGGGCTGCGGCTGGCAGAGGGCGCAGGGTCTGCCTTCATTTGCGCGGTTCTGCAAACACGTGCTCACAGGCCACGGGGGCCGCACGCGGTGCCCGCGGGCACAGGCGCGCGGGCCCCAGCCGCCGGCCGTTGGTTCTCCGGTCTCCGTGGATGCGTCACTTTACGGAGAATTTTCTCAACTTTTCCACCGCAAAATTATCTTTTAATTCTTTCTTAAAGAGTTCAAAATTCAATTACTAGGAACCAATGGACCATACAGAAAAGTAACGCCCAACAGGAAAACACATCCTGAAGCCGCGGCGAACCCAGCCGGGGAGGCGCGGGCTCCTCGCTGCTTGTTTGGAAGCCCCGCGACATAAACGCACACATTTAATTAACGTCGGAGCATTAAAAAAAATTCTATTAACGGCCCAGCTGTGCAGCGTGATGTGCGCTCTCGACTCTTATCAAGGTGTCGGGAATGTTCCTTTTTATTGCCTCTGCACGGGGAGGAAACGGCAAGTTCAAAGTCAAGCTACTGTATAAAACCACGAAAACATAACAAGTGGGGAGAAAAGTTGGAAATATCTTTTCTGACGAGACGTCAGTACTTCGGGGGATACGAGCGGCTTCGTTTGCGGAGGGAGTTCCTGGGACAGTTTTCCCGGCGGCGCTGCTGCTGTTACCCTGTCACGTGGACGGCGCGGGAGCCGGCGCCTGGCAGGGTGGCGGGCGG